AAAATACACTGAATCACACATGGATAATTCTTTAGCAATGCTATTTAGAGTCTTAAGTGTTCAAACAGCAGCAAAAACCCTTGAGCTCTAAGAACTTAACTGGAATGTCCTTTGTATGCCACTCTAGGGAGGCAGCACACTGACCACATGCAGCACTTCAAAGTGTGTGCGAATGAGAACATAACAGATGGCGTGATGTGCACCTGCTATAGGCAGTTCCCTTTGAGAGGGTGGCTGTAAGGCCTGTCACAACTTGTTTCTTGCCCGATCTCCAGCTCTGCCACACTACCCTTCCCATTGCACCTCCTCAGACAGCAGGTGCCCACCACATGTGCAGCACTCTGCCAAAGGGCCAAGCACCACATAGGTCAATCATACGCCTCCACTCCCGGGAGTGTACCATCTGCTACAGGACAGTTAGCATCCATATGATGTGACACATTCCAATTACCCTGATGTGATGACAGAAATGTTGCTAGAATTGTTGAACCTGAATATGATCACGAGGAAACATCAGAAGGTAGGGCTTTAAGAAATCAATGTCATGGGGAAGGACAAATAACTAAAAAGGAGACCAGAGACACCACCTTCAGGGGAGTGTGGGGCTGAGAGGGTGGGGAAGAACAGGAAATGAGGACAAATGGGGTATGTGCAAGGGACATCACATTTCTCAGAAATAACGACAGTGTTATGGTGGTCAGACTAACCTACTCATGAGGTATTTACTGAGCACTTGGGGGTGAAGCATCAGGACTGCAGATGACTTTCACATGGTTCAGAAAAAGAGCAAAATGTTAACCAGTAACTAGGTGATGACTATGCACATATGTGCTATTGTGTGTACATGCATGTTCATTGTGCTATTTCAACTTGTTTGAAATTTGTCCAAATGGATGAAATTCAACATGATACATGTAACAAAAAGTACATGGATGCTGTAAAACTGAATATCAAACTATGAGACCAGTTAAATAGGAAGTTTTCTGCGATCACATGGAAAGACTGCTAAGTTAGATAATAACCGGCATGACCTGGTTTCTATAAAGCACACCATGATGTTAATGATTATTACATGGTCGAAATAGGGCTTATTTTTGTTCAGCAGTATTTTCTAAATTGTAAATCCCATGCATTGTGCAATAAATGACACATAAAAGTCATGGAGAAAGGCATTCATGGCACTGAAGCTCAGGCAGAACTTCGAAGGCTTGGCCAGGGCCGGCAGAAAGAGCAGGCATGTGCAGAAATGGGCAGGGCACAAGTGTGTTCAATCTGGAACACCGCTACAGCATGAACTGCAGTGCTGTGCCCATGGTCAAAAACAGGGGAGGTCCTTCCAGGCTGGCTGGGGAACTGGTCAGCAGTGGGAGCGACAGGGTATCCCACAGGGGAGGCAGCCAGATGTATATATTTGAGCTCCTTTGCTGATGGCTATGCCAAAAGTGGAAAAGGTGGACTTCAGGAATGAACCTTGCAGTCCTTGGAAAAGCCCATGTGAAAAATGTAGCTGGAACAACTGGTAAGACACTATAAAAATGGCAGAACCCCGTCAGATGAAGGAAGAAGCAAGGGGTCTACGGCAGCTCCTAAGTTTATGCTTTGGGTTGCTGGTACTGGCTTGTCTGAAACGTACTAGAGGAAGGTCAGACTGGAAAGGGGACAGAATTTCAGGTTGGCACATGGGTTGGTCTGTGAGATATTCAGCAGGTAATAATGAACATGAGGATAAGAAAAATCCTGAGCTGGAGCATCTGCAGGGTGTGTGCCCTCCCAGTCTGAGAAGGCACTGAAGTGGGAATGACACCCTCTGCTCCTCAGATGGACCAATGCCCTGAAGCCTAAATGAACACCACTGCCCACAGGAATGGGTTACAGCTGAGGCTGAGAAGCTAGAACTAAGCGAGAGACTTCCTGGTCACTTAAAATATCTTTATCAAGTACATGTATTACTGTCTTAATTTTTTATTTTTTATTTATTAATTCAAGAAAGAGAGGCAGGGGATGGGGGGAGGAGCGGGAGGAGAGAGAGAGGGAAACACTGATTTGCTGTCCCACCCATTTATGCATACATTGGTTAATTTCTGCACGTACCCTGACTGGGGATTGAACCTTAGCGTATTGGGACAATGCTCTAACTGAGCTACCCGGCGGCCAGGGCACTGTCTTAATTTTTTTAAATGGTAGCCAGTTAATTAACAAATATAAAGGCTCAAAGTTTTAAAAAATGACAAGCACAAGTTAGTGTCCTTAAGACAAATAGCTTAAACCAAGAAAAGAAGAAAAAAAAAAAGGACAAAATGTAGTGAGTTTTCCTAAGTTCTCAACAATCAGGCAAGTTATCTAACAGCAGAGCATTAAGCAAATCTGGTTCTAAGGTTCTGAATCTTAGCCTCACCTGGTGACAGCCATGACATGACTTTGGCTAAGCCACTTAGCTCTTCTGAGCCTAAGTTTCCTCTAATGGGTAAGTCGGGGGTGATAAGAGGCATGTGATGGAGTGTTTACAATATAATGCACATAAACTGACAGAGTCTGGCACATGGTAAGACTCAGTGAAGGAAATGATGTTATAGCACTTGAAGGCAGAGTGTTTGGAGCAAGTTTTTGTGGACAGAGTACCCAGAGGTGAACATGCCTCACCCAAGGTTGGAGTACTACAGTTCTTCCAAAGTAGCATCTACCTAGCACACAGCGGGAGGCCAAGCCCTGCTCCGTGGTCTGCCAGAGACGCTGTCACCTCCAGTCTGGGGTATTTGCTTAAAAACCCCACTCATGATTAGTGTTAAGTCAACTAGCACCTGTCTTAGATGCTAAGATTATGATATTTGTGTATCTGTGGAGGGTAGGGTTCACTAAGAGCCTGATTTGGCACTTTTATTGGAATTCCTGGGGAAGAAAAAAAATTCTCTTTCCCTTGGGGTTGGTGGAAACTACGTCGATAGAGGACAGGGCAGGGCTAGCAGTTAAGAGGGTCGGGGGCCTGGAGACCCGACTGGAGCTCGTGCTTTGGGCTCAATCGGACACTCTGCATTTTCCAGTTATCTGAGCCAAATCGCTTTGCCTAAGTCTTATGAATTTGTCACCAAGAACCAACGGGAGCCAGTAATCGGTGGATGAGAAGACTCTGCCCTCTGGGGATGCTGGTTCCTGACAGCAGCTCCTCTAGAACCACAGCCCCAGCCAGGCATACTAAACCCACAATATAAAACATTAACAAGACTCATGACCAGAAGGAGAGAAAAGATTAGAGGTCATAAAAAAATTAAGATTAAAAGTATATGGGGGTAAAATATATGGAGGAAATTACTTTTAAGGAAAGAGGGAAAAGCCAAGACTACAAAAGAGAAGTTCAAAGGGTATTAAAACAAGAGTAGAATAAGGACTTAAAAACTAAGTATTATTGATTAGAAAAATAGCTCTAGAAGATATTTTGGTGTGTATATGGAGTGATATTACTGAATTGATATTAATTTTCTTACGTGAGGTAATAATGTTGTGCTAAGGTATAACAGTGTCCTTATTCTTAGAAGGTATGTGCTGAAATACCCACAGGTGAAATGTCATGACCTCTGCACGTCTGTCAAATGTTTCGGAAAAAAAAAAAGGGCATATGTGTCTAGAAGAGAAAAAGATTGGTTAATATTTTAACTGGTGAACCAAGGTGAAAAGTATAAAATGGTAAATGTGACACATTTTAGCTTTCTGTGAGTTTGAAAATTTCCAAAACCAAAAAGAGAAAATAGAAAGGTATTAAAATTAAACAAGGGGGAGCAAGGTTAAAACAGAGCAAGAAACTTGAAAATCAGGAGTTATAAAAGGGGGTAAATAGGAAAAGTTTTATCAGGAGAGTAAGACAGGCCAACAAGGCTTCAGAACAAAAACAGCTTTGATAACTAGGGAAAGGCACAGGTCAATCCCAGCTGAAAGCTGCCATGTGGTGTTGGCCCAGGGCTCCTAGGGGACAGGCACCTCCACTTCCTACATGGACAGGCTAAACAGACGACCTCTTGGGCAAGAAGAGGAACAGGCTGTTGCTTCTTGCCCTAATGACTGTGTGGCTTGTGGGGTCCTCCTTGCAGAAAGGGTTGTTAGTTACCTACAGCTGAGAAAATGCAGACACCCCTCCCAAAGTTACAGTATGATACTCAGGCTACAGTTTACTTCCCTTTCCATCTGAGAGTCAATCACCCTATTCATCTGAAAGGTGCCTGAAGTAACCATTCAGAACTGGGATAAAATCTGGACCCTCTGCAGAGAGCAGATTCTCGAGATGGGTGTCTGCCAATGTGGAGCATGTGGCAATGCCACGGTCCTTCTCTCCCATGGTAGTCAGATCCTTCAGAACTAACAGTGTTGCTTCAAGATTATGAGGTATTGGAGTAATTGACCCAGGAAGGGGCCATGGGACCAGAACCTTTGGGAACATTTGCAAAGTAGGGGAAGATGAAAGAGAGGTCCAGTGAGAGGGGTGCTGGGTCAAAACTAGTTTCAACAAACTATAATCACTATTCGTGCCAAGGATTCTGTTTTTGTTTCCTTTTTGGTTACAGATCTTTTCCCTCCCTCCTCCCAGGTCTTTGTGGCAGTGGCGAGAACTGAACTCCATCTCAGTGTGTTACCAAGCACATCCTCCAAGGCTAAATGGCTGGGAGAAGTCACATAAGGCACAAGTCAGGAGGTGTAAGGACAGAGAGGTTGCATCCTCTTCAACACCTGGAGGCCAGAGTGGGCAGAGGGCTGTCCTGACAGGAGCCTGGCCTTATCAGTGACTCTGACTAATACAAAGGTAAATCAAATCAAATCCCTTTATCAGCAGGACATACTCAAAGCCCAATGAAGACAACAGGAAAACGACTGACCGCAGCTGGCCAAAAAATGGCTCTAAGCCCTGTTCCAAATATTGGTCAATCCCCAGTATGGATTAGGCGCATGAAGAATTGGAAGGAAAAAGGAGACACAATTAATTATCAAACTTTAATTGATAGGCTAATCTTACAGGATAAACAATAAGACAGCTAGTCAAGGTTACACTTTTAAAAAAAATCCAGCAGCGCAAATCTAATAGACTAAATACGTTCATCTCTTCCCAAACAGGCATTTGATTAAAAAACAAAAACCAGAACAGAGCATACACCACAAGGAAATATGGTACTTACGTATATTGTCAATTCATTCTGGAGAACTCTTTAAGAAAAAAAAAGTTCTTGAAATTTAGAAAGCAGCAGAACCACTCAGCCTGGCAGGTGTTCTGTACTCCGGAGGGCTCCTGGCCACCTGTGACTTCAGAGAGGCCACATGGCCCTTTATTAAGAGGTGCCAATCCTAACTAGAGATGACTACATCACAAAGCCTTAAAACAAAGGGGCCATCCTTTTCCAAGACAACAGGCATGAACAGAGGCATGGAGCAAGGGAGAGGTCTCCCTCATTAGATAGGGTGGAAAGGAGGCCCTTGCATGGTCCAAAGCACAGGGTCCATCCCTTCCCTCCCAGTCCCTCACAAAGAATGGGTGAGCCAAGATCAAGAGCCCAGGGCAGCTCTTCCAGGCACATAGTTAAGAGAAGAGGAAAGCAAGCCCCTTCTGGCTGAAATATGACAGGTTTTCAGAGCCGTGGGAATGTGGCGGTTAGTCTCTTTGGCTCTTGTAAGATAAAGCAGCAACTAAGGAGACTACTGAGGCCTCACTGGCCTCCTGTATCCACAAATTATAAGAAAGGACATCCTTAGCTCAGTTCAACCTCATTAAGAAGAGCTAATACTACTTGCAGAAAGCCCATCATCAATTAAAATACTTAACACCAAAGAGTTCAGCAACTCACAAATCTAAGTTCTCTGATCAGGTTGACTGACCCAGAGCTGAGCAGGGTAGCCTCAGCAGGGATTATACTTTGTCACTATTTGCCAAGTCACCTCAGGGAAGGGAAGAAAAGATAGCATCTTGAGCAAAGACCTGCAGGAGGACCACCAGCACAAATTCCAGAAGAAAAAGCAGCCCATCAGGAGGCTCAGAGAAGTGCCTACAGGGAAAAGATGCCAGGCCCCTAGCCTATTCCCTGCACGCTGGAGCCCCCTGGAAGCATCACTTCCTCGGGCCACCTACATGCCCACCATGAAGGATAGTCATGACCCAGACAAAGAGCTGGTCCCCTCTGACAGTGAAGGAACTGCACAGAATTCATCCTGAGGACACAGGAACACTGTGATTACCTAAGGGGAGAGTATGCCAGCTTGCTAACACAGATTAAGTCTCAGCACATTCTGGACTATAAGAGAAAGAGGAAGAGACTGTTCACAGGACCAAGAGACAAGACAGTGAATACTGCTGGGACCCAGACTCAGATCTAACTAAACACCTCTTCCAGGGCTTCTGGTCCCACCCACCTCTGCTCTCCAAGGGATTCCAGCAAGATCTCCATGCAGACTGGCCCAGGAGCCAGACCTCATGACTATTATAGCAGATTCAGTGAGCCCCACCAAACAGTTCCACATGAAAAGATGTCATTTACATTATTTATATATAGTATCTTGAAGTAAGGAAAAAAGCACCATTTTACGTAAAATAAAAAGGCTCACACAGGCTTTGGTCTTGTCTTGAAATGACACCAGCCCGAGTGAGAAGCAGTTTGGCTCTTGGGGAGCAGGGACACACATTCTCACTGGGAGAAAGGGATGTCTGATGGCGTGGCAGCCACACAAACAGGGAAAATGAGGAGACCTGGCGGGAAAGGCTTCTCAGAGCAGCAGTGTGAGGCCAGTCTGGGGACGGAGACACCTGCTTCCAGAGAAAGAAGTGGTGTGTGGCACTGTCAGGACAAGTCTCCAGGACAGGGACATTGGCCAACAAACCGAGACGATACCCTGCTCACTCCATGACTCTGTCCTCTGCAGCCCTGTCAGCAGCAGAAGAGGTACAACAGGAGTGCAGAAGCACCGTTTTCTGCAGGAACTGTGGCCAACAGCACAGAGAGGCTGCCGTTACTGTTCCTTTTTTAAGGATGAAAATGGGCAGTGTCTTGGACACTACACTTCACAAATGTACTCATGCCCCCCAAAAATAAGTGTAGATCTTTCTGCCCAGAAGCCTAACTCGGAAACAGCTACACCATGAGAAGCACGAGTCTGTATATACCAGCTGTTTCCTGAACTATAGTTCAGAGGAAAGGGTGCAGAACACCATCATTAACTGGCTCACACATGCTAATACATTTCACGGAATAAGGGGGAACAGCCTAGAATCCAGAGTGTCAGGTTTGGAAACTCTCTTGCTATGAGAGCCTGCAGCCAATGAGAGGACTGCAAATACAGCAGCAGAGAAACAGCAAACAGCACAAGGACACCACTCACCAAAAGACTTACCCTCGTTTCAGAGTCAACCAAGTCACAAGTAGACAACAGAGTTACGTGTACAAAGAACATAAGGGCCAAAACCAGAAGAGGGTGAGCTAATCACAAAAGGAATTTATCCCATTTTTGATGTTGCAATACATTGCCAACCTACTAGATCAGATGTCTTTTTATTGAGAAAGGCAGCATCTCTGAACTTAGAATGAAGGACACTTGAACACAACACATGAGCAGAAAGAAGAAATGGAGAAGCATAATTGAAATAATCATTGGACTGCCTAAGAATTTCTCGAAACTTCTAACGTGGGCCTATGACTATATGGCTGTATAAACTGTCTTCCATCTGGCTCCTCCTTGAAGAGGCCTGTGGCAGCCTGGGAACTGTGGCTATTGGAGCAGCACAGCCAGGCATACCCATGCCAGGCTGGGCATCAAAACCCACTAGGTGAGGGCTGCAGACAACCCAGAGATTGGTGCCCAAAGGGCAAAACATTTGACAAGAGTCACTGTGAAATACTCTGCCGCTCACCACAGCACGTGTGAGCGCTCCCTGACCGAGACCCACAGCCCTTCCCTCCCACTGCACACTCACGAGCAGCAGCATGGCAGGAGAATGCCAGGAAAGGAAGCAGTGATGAGGTACAAAAGGAGGAACTGACATCTTTGGGTTTTCAAAACAAAAACTCAAATCTAGGAAGTGAGAAAATAAAAAACAGAAAGAATTAAGTCTGAATCAATGGACAGAAAAATATGGCTTACCAACCCTCCCACTTTGCATACAATTTTATATGAAAAAGAAAAAGAAATACCCCAACTCATCACAACACAGTCCAAGTGTTTACAACCAAAGATTTATGAAAATATTTCAGTTAAAATCACTTTAAAAAAAAAAGCAGAAAGCTTTTGACCATTCCTTTCTAAACAAAACCTTGGCAGATCTACTCTCAAACACACTTAAGAGTATTCCACACAACACATTCGGAATTCAGATTTATTGATTTCCACTGTACTGACTTTAAAAATGGTATGAAGCTGACTGCAAGAAAGGGAACTGGTGATTTTAAGTTAAAATTAAGCTAAGGGTGAAAGAACATCACCTCTGGCTTCGGTCACCACATCACCTTAGATTGGATATAGATTGTTTTTTGAACAAAGTTCCAGAACTCTGAAATCCAGGGATGCTGCAGGCCTCTCCCAGCAATGTCCTTCACTTTGGGTCAGTCTCCTGGGCCAGAGGTGAAAGTGCTTTCAAAAATACTGCCACTTCCCCAGCACAGTGTCTTTGATTGCATCCACATATTGAGTTGGAACCCAGTACACCCAGTAGTAAGAGGCTTCCGTGGGGCCCAACTGAAATGCCTGGAAGGGAAAAAGGAAAACCAAGCAACACTTCAGAGGTTGGGAGACTGAGCATCAGCACAACAAACACAGGGGAGGGCTGAAATTGACTTTAAAAGGGAAGGAGGAAAAAAAAACCCTGCATGTGGCCAGCATTCTCTTGTCCCCCCACCTCCAGCGCAAAAAAAAAAAAAAAAAAAGCAGCAGCAAGAGGATGGATATAAGTAAGCGTGGCTGACCCTAGAGCAGCAGTTCCCAAACCCAAGTGCACATTGGAGCCACTGGGAGGGCTGGTCACAGTCTCTTGACTTTGCAGGGCTACGCGGCACCTGAGAGTCTGTAACTGTACAGAGTTCCCGGGTGATACGCTGCTGCTGATCGAGAGACCCACTTGGGAACCACTGTCCTAGAGAAGCTGCCACACATGCACAAGGAATGAACATTCAAAGCAGCACTGCCAGAAATCGTAAAAACCTGGAAACAACCTACATACCCATCAGTGAGAGAATGCAAAATTAAAACTGATGTGGCCTATTTGTATGAACATTGTATCAGTTTTAAAAGATATGAACTGGATCTATGGTAAACACAGATATATCATGTCGAATCAAGAAAGGAAGCTGCAGAACGATACATACCAGGATACCACTTATGAAAACTGAAAAAACACAAAACAGTACCGAAGCTTGTTCGTGGACATACGTGAAAATGAAAGCAGAGCAGCAAAGATCCACATGATAGAGGGTAGTGGGAGAGGGGAAGACAACAGGGATGAATCCACTGTTGGTGAATTTTCTTTTATTAAAAAGTGATTTAAAGTGGGTTACAAAATATTTACAATTGTCATTTCTTGGTGATGGATATATGGGTTCATTGTAGTACTCACTGTTCTTTCCTGTATTTTTAAAGGTTGCTCTAAAAATAACTAAGTACAGCTACCCTCTTCTAACGTAAACTCTGACATGCTAATCTAGCTAGTGATACGGCATCTACAAAGAGGGAAATAAATACTTTAATTAGGACAAAGGTAAAGGTGCTAATTAACAATTAATTAGTGTTTAGAGAAGGGCGATCAGAGCCATTTGCTGCCAGAAATGACTCCAGAAAAAAATGAGCCTTTGAACGAAATCTAAGGCATTGCTCAGCCACACCACCAATCACCTAAGAGGTTCAAACTGGCATACTCAGCTTACATAAACTCCTCTCACCAGGCTGCCTGAAAACTCGGGCTGCAGACTGGGAAGACAAATTCTTCAAAGGGCAGTGCAGGAGAACAGAAGAAAATATTAAAATCCAACTTTTAAAACGAAAAAATAACTGAGGAGGAGAACAATTCCTCTGAAGTCCTTTAAAGACTACTGAGACCGGGAGTGGACAAGCTGCCAGAGAGCTCAAAAGCAGCCCCAGGATGTTGTCGCCACTCTCGGAGCCACCCAGGAGCTCTGCAGGCCCGGGGCTGCCAGCCCAACCACAGTCTTACTTCCACACCTCCCAACTGAACTGATAGGTGTGACAGGAGAGGAGAGGACACACAGACAAAAGACCTTTCCTAGAGCCTGGGGATCTGCCATCTGTCTACACAGGACTGCCATGATGCTAGACCCCTTCTTCTGGGATCTTCCAACCTCTCTCTTGGCCGTGGACTTTGTGAGAACACACACCGGTCAGACCACTACTGTTCCTTCTCCCTGAGATGGGGCCAATATAGGTACATTCCTGTTGGTTGGGTGCTGAAAAATCTGCCTCCTCAGACAGAGAATGGCAGGCAGACACCCTCACCCTGTCACTGCTCAGGTCTGGTTCTTGTCATAGCAATTTCAAAGTTTGGGTGGCTAACTTAATGTTTAAAGTGGCCCCTCCAGCCCTGACAAGTGTGGCTAGGTTGGTTGAGCATCATCCTGCAAAGCAAAAGGTCACCAGTTCGATTCCCGGTCAGGGCACATGCGTGGGTTGTGGGATGGTCCCCAGGTGGGGGTGTGCAAGAGGAAGCTGATCAGTGTTTCTCTCCCTCTCTTCCTCTTCTCTAAAAATATATAAATAAAATCTTAAAAACAAAAAAAACAGGATGGCCCCTCCAAATAGTGCTAGGAAGTAAAAAGGGTACACCTAAGCTGCTCAGTCCATCACTGAACTCTTGCTTTGTTCTGCACAGACTTGGGCAATGTCTGCCAACATCATGTCTCAGGAAAATACAGCCATGCCATTAGAGTGGACCTCCAGAAAGACGATGTCCACAGACCCGGCCTCCCCACAGGACCCCAGCCACCTGATGGCTCTAGCCTGGGAAGGGCAATGCCATCCCAGAGGGGCATGGCCTCTGGCGGAAGGCCTGGTGTCCCACACACCAAGACTAGTGCGAGATTTTATTCTATGATCAAGACAAAGTTCAATGAAAATCCACAAGCCATTCCTCCTCGTTACATTTATTCTTCTGGTCTAAAAACAAAATATTACCACCAAGTGGGAGGCAAGAGAGATCCAACGTATCCCCTTTAAACAGTGGGAAGGTGGGAAAGCAGGGGGGGCACTGCAAAACAGAGAACTAGGACTAGGCCACGGACTAAGTTTTAAGTAGATGAAGGAAATGAACATCTGACACCATGCGTCTCCTGAATACTGAGTGTCCTCTTCAGTTCACATCAGTCCCTGCTAGAGGAGCAGAAGCAGGAGCCGAGAGAGGCCAGAGCACACCAGCTACTTACCATCATGTGGTAGTCTTCATGTCCTTCAATGGGTTCACTGACCACATTTTTAATGGAGCCCATGGGTAATTTCTCAGTCCGTTCTAGGTCGAGAGGAATGACAATCATTATTCAAAGGCTCTCCTGTTATACTGTGTGACTCAACAGTCCCTTGTCAGGGCTGGTGGCTTTGGAGTCTACTGTAAGCTCAAGTCACTCGTGCCCTCTAGAGATGGTGGGGCAGGACCTTCTGACAGCGACCCTAGAGTCCTTCATGGGAACTGGAAACTTCTCAGGAGCAAATAGGGACCAGGATGTGGCAATGGTATAGTAAAGGTCTCTGAGGTCAGAAGTAGCTCCTTCCTGGCGTTATTTTTAAAAGTCTAACAATTAATAAATACCCAAGAAATTCCACTGTACCCTTACTGCTCAAGCCCAGCACTGGCTAATGCCTTTTGTGCCTGGGACAGGCAAGAGGACGAAGGGTAAAAAGGCACCAGCATGCCCCTGGGGCTCCCACACAAAGGAGGACTGCTGGGGGGTGCACGACCAGTCTCTGTCCAAAGATCCTGCTCACTTGCCCTCCCCCATCCCTCCCTGGACCCCCCACCCTTTCATATACCCATGCTTGAAAGTTCTCTTAAAACATTTATACCCTCTTATGATTAACACTCAAGATACCACTTAGCACAGGGTCAGAAGACACTTTGCAGCAAGTTTAAGGGTGGCAGGTATGCAAGAGGCGGCAACAAGGGATGCCTGCAGAAAGAGGAGACTGCTGGCAGTGAGCATGTGTAGCAGCAGGGGACGACAGCAGGAGGGGTATGGAGCGCCTGCCACCAGGAAATTACCACCCAGAAGCAGCACACACCTCAGGAATGGGAAAAGTGCTCAGAAAACAGTTAAACCAAGTTTTAAAAAAAACATTAAAGCCGCCCTTGCCATCATGGCCCAACTGGCTGGGCACTGTCCTGTGAGGCAAAAGGTTACCAGTTTGATTCCCATGTCTGGGCTGCAGGCCTGGTCCCTGGTTGGGGCGCATGCAAAAGGCAACTGATTAATGTTTCTCCCTTGCATCAATGTTTCTCTCCCTCTCTTTCTCCCTACCTTACCCTCTCTCTAAATAAATAAAATCCTAAAGAACACAAAAACATTAAAGCCTTTTCAGAAAGAAAAATCTGGAAAGGCAAAATCTGAAAACAGTAACTTGACAAAAGAAACCAGGAATTTAGAGGCCAGGGTTCTAGTCTAGTTGATGAATTGAGACATTTTATTTCTGTTCTGTGGGCCTCGGTCTGTGAAAAACCAGCGTGGGGAGACTGGACATGAAGACATTTATTCAAGTTCTGACTTTCAGTGGCTCAAAAATAGTGTCCCACAGGCAGGACCTGACCAGCTATGTCTTTAAGAAAGAAACTTCTTAAAACACCAACCATCTTGAATGTCCAGCAATTTCACATAAAGACATGGATTTCTGGCTTCCTTTGAAAATGCAGAAGATGTAACATTCCTAGGGCCCATGCTCATGAGAGATAAGCAGCTAGATTATAGATACCACATTCCTACCAATGGGACACAGGCACTCCCACGGCAGCGACAGTGCTCCCCTGTGCTTGCCATTCACCCTTCCTGTTGAGAGCCTGTTCTTCTCAACTCCTCTGGCTCTGAGTTTGTGGGTCCTGCCTCCCACACAAGCCACCACAGTTTACCTGTGTCACTCAGTAAAGCACCCCTCTGAGGAGTCCAACTAGCTGCTGGAATGTTCATTCCACAGTAGCGTCTTGCCAGCAGAAAGATGAAGCCGGAGGCTGGGAGCCAACTCCCAGAACGAGCTCTCCTCTGAAGAACTGCTTATGACACTCAGGTGACAGGACTCACGCTCAGGTGAGAAGAGTACCTGAGATACACTGACGTAGGGCTCTAGGTGGGAGTGAAAACCTCAGCTGTGGCTGACCCCTGAAGGAAGATGTGAGTTAATGGCCATGCTCTTCAGGAAGGCTGGCGACTTAGGAGGCTCTCAACAGCTCTGATGCACCAACACACTGAGGTTCTTTCAGAGCTCTCCTTCATGCCAAAGCAGGAGGGTGGCTGCTCCCCAAATCTGAAGCAGACCTCCAACATAGGCACAGCGGGTTCTCATGAGTCCCTATCGTTAGGACATGTTCCCTACACTACTTCCTAACACAGAGGTGTTCTCTGAGGAACCAACCAGCACGCAGAGATGGAGTTCTCATCCAGACTGCCTGGCTGCACCCATCCTCTCGGCCATTGGTGTCCTTCCGGATCAGCCTTAGCCACTGCCTTCCATTTGGCTGCCGAAGTGGAAGAAGCAGTGCTTTAGCAAGTCAATGTGATGATGGAGGACTAAGCCCAACCACCTGCCAAGTCATGGAGAAGTGAGGAGCTGACAGGGGTGAGCAACGCACAACTGAAGAAACAACAGGGGATGACAGGACCAGCTCTGCAGAAGACAATGACCTATTAAAGGGGTCAAAGGCCCTTTGAAGAATGGGGGAGCCCTTAGATAGTTTTCAAAACTTGCTCTGATCATGCAGTTAGAATCAAAGGTGAAAGAAAGAATATAGCAGGTTATCATACAATCATTAGAAAACTCAAGCATTTTTGGCATCTCAGTCTTTGTTCACTTGCAGAACCAAAATAGGGGTGAAAACAAGAAACTTTCATATTTTAGATGATAAAAATCTCATTCCCATCACCCCAACCCTATTTTCCATAAAATGTTGGCCCCATTTGAAGCAGAATCATACTAATGGCCTGTCTCTGAAACCAATCAGCCTCAGAGGACAAAATCCCCTGTACTTCTCTTTCGCGTTTACCTCGAACACTGAACACCTACAGTGCTGGCAGAAACAGGTGAGTTAGGCATGTTCGGTCCCCTCCGGAATCTAACAGGGGACAGACAAGTCAGAGAGTAATGAGTGCTCTGGGGACATAAATGAAGTACTCTATGAACAAAGCAGCAGGGTAGGGGACATATCAGGGAAGGCTTTATTAGGAGGACACTTAAGTAGTGCCTTGGAAGATTTTATTATAACAAGGAATGGGAAGAAGGCTTGCAGGTTAAGTGCACAGCATCAGCAAAGACACAGGGCTGTGCAGAGCATGTGGGGGAGGTTTGGCACGTGGTGCAGCTGGTACACACAGAGTATGACAAGGCAAGCAGGAAAGGAAGCTAGGTCAAAAATTTAAACTGGGGTTCCATCACTGAGAACACTGGACACTGTGGTTAGGCATTTGAACTTGGCCTTAAAGAGCCAAAAAGGTTTTTGAACACAAAAACCAGTGACAAAAAAAAAAAAACAGTAGAGAGAATGGGCGGGGGGACACAAGAGATCAGAGATGGGGCAGGGAAACAGGTTAACTTCTTTCATGGACCAAGTTTAGAGATGCTAGGAGTCTTAAGCAGCACCATGAAGTAGCAAAGAAAGAGACACAGGTAATTCTGGAGTGTAACTGATGAGACACTGATCCATCTGGGGGAAGAAAGTGGGAGGAGAGTCAGAAACACTTCCCAGCAAAGAGCAAGCCTGACCCAGCAAGCACAGGTAGGGGTCTGTGGGGGCATGCAGAGGGCTACCAGGTTGGAGGCTGGTGAGAGGGCAGGTCCAGTACTAGGAAAACTGCAGCTAGTACAGGGGCAAACTCCAATCTACTGGGGCCAGGTGGGCAATGTGAATGAAGGATGCTGGCTACCTATAGGCTAACTGAGACAATGAGAACCATTAGCCATGCCCGTGTGAAACTACTACTCAACTCCAGCTGCTTCTTACCATGTGAGCATGCAGGTCCAGACTGGCTGGACCTTCTGATTTTTTTCAAGAGGAGCCAAAAATCAGATCAAGTGAAATCTCCAGTTTTGTTTTGTTTTTTAAAAGACCTTATTTATTTTTAGAGCAAGGGGAAGGGAGGGAAAGAAACGATGCAAAAGAGAAACATTGATCAGCTGCCTCTCATATGCACCCTGGCCAGGGACTGAACCCACAACCAGGGATGTGTCCTGACCAAAAATTGAACCAGAGACCTTTCGGTTCACAGCATGACACCCAACTGCGACACAGTGGTCAGGGTAAATCTCGTTTTTTACAGATTATGTGTAAACAGATAAAACCCTTGCCTGTGGATCAAACCTGGCCCTCAGGCCATACATCCAGGACCTCTGGTTTTTGGTACAACCAGAGAACCAATTTTTGATGGATTGGCCCTGACATCAGACTGAAAAGAATGAGGGGAAAGGGTCTAAACAGAAGGTGAGCATCTAGAAGCAAAATCAAAAGCCAGGAGCATGCAAAACACAGTGGAGATTTCAGAATGAGGAGCAGAACTGAGTGCTGAGTGCTGCCAGGTGCCAGAGGTAGCAAGTCAGGAAGAAGCTGCAAGCAGTAACACATACCTTTAGTGCCAATCCACAGCTGGTCTTGTTCTAGTTTAAAGGTGAGTCTCACTTTTCCTCCAGACTTATTGTACATGCCAGACAAGGGGACTGTAGGCAGGCGCTCCTGGAGGCACGAGATTGTCGTAAGAGAGGGAGGGACCAGAAACAAAGTAGGACGAAACAGGGTAAGGGACAGGATGCCAAGATGGGAGCACAGGAACCTCAAGAAGCCAGGTGGGCCTAGTTTTCGGAATGCTCATGAAGAAGTGTGGCTTACCTGGGCCCCCTTAACAGATGGCATCACATCTTCAGGTTTTCCTTTATCCAACACTTTCCTGTGTTGCTATAACATAAGTCAGAAGAGATCATTAAATGAAAGTTGACCACATTTTTGTCAGGTTACTACCTCAGAAAAACAGGACGAAGAAACAAAGCCTTAATGTTCCAGTTCAAAACTTGTACTGTCTACATATGGGTCCTCTGACACTACAGAGCAGCGCTGTCCAGCAGAAGTTTGTGTTGATGGACACGTGTGGCTATTAAGCACTTGAAATAGGGCTAGTAGGACTAAGAAAATGAATCCTCAATCTTACTGAATTTTAATCAGCCACATATGGCTATCATACTAGATCTCAAAGTTCTGGAGAAAGCAGAATTTCCAGACTACTAATTCAAAGAAACTCTACTTCCTCCTCCCTTCCCCAATTCACCAGTGGAACGATTCAACATCAAGCTAAGAGAGCCACAAATGGTGTTGCTGTCCTGACAGGTACAAAATGAGAGCACTTCTGTCAACTTAAACTCCCAAAGACACTCTACCGATGTTGGCAATTAGGCTAATTATCTACAGGGACATTTCCTCCACAAATGGAGACTCATCTACTGCAGAAGTTTTCCCCGATGCCTCACTCTCAATCCCTGCTAGACTGAAATTCTGAAGAACCTCATTTCCAAAGAGAAATGCTCTACAGCCTGACATTAAGAAGTCTCTAACCCAGCCCACCACAGGAGTTTGACGCAGTTCCTTATGGGTTCTAGTAAGGCTCATGGCTCCTGACCAGCCCACATGTTAAAATCTTACTTCTGCCCCAGCTATAGTTGTATAGGTAAAGATACTGTTTAGTGGAGCTAGAACCTTAGGGCAATGAATAGGCAGAGTAAAAAATTAACTAAATTTAAGCATCAGGTGACCATTAACTAGCTCAAACCCTCACTGGCATGGCAGAAACCTCCAGTAGGAATAAACTCAACATTGCCAGATTGCTATCAAGGGTCCCCTATATTATCAGCCCCAGATTTCTGAAGAGCTGGTGAAAAGTCACAAGGATGGGTCCCTCTCATGAGGCCATGTTATGCCTCATAACTGACATTAACGAAACAGCAGCATGGATTACAAGCTGAATTTGACTCATACCTCACAAGCCATCTATTGAAGAATTTCCCCTGCACTGTGGAAAAAAAGTTCAAAGCCTGTTAAGCTAGCATTAGTAACTCAAAACCTGTATTTAAGAGGCATGTGTGCTCCCAGGGTGGGGCCAGCGGGAATGCTCACTCACGTCTGCATTCTCATACTTGACATTTCCCACAGGTGGCAGAGGAAAACAGGAAAATGGAAATGAACTCAATTGGTTACAAGACCTTGTAATCCCACATTTATAGTGAAAGTGTCCAAATAAACACCTTTTAGACGTTAATATAGGTTTACAACCCCTTTCTGAAATGCTATGGACAGATGTCTTGAATGTTTTAAAACCCAAAAGTTTTATGGGTTTTATAAAAGTAATATAGTTTTAGAATACATTCTCTATCATCTTCCATGGGTTCGGGGGCAGCAGCACCTTGTCACCAAACACACTAACATTTCTATGGCAAAACATGAATAGTCACACTAGTCCTGGTCAGGTTTTGCTACCCTATTTACAAAAACATGTTTTGGAGGTTTGGAAGCACACATAAGGGAATACGGACCTGTAACAGAAAACTGTATACTTCTCACACTGTTGGTCATATGCCTGAGTGCCTATAATCACTAAAACCAATGTTGGTTCCAGCTGGTCTACTCTATTCAGCACACAGGTTAGGATGAGAATACCTATTTTCCTGGAACACTACTAAAGAGTGTCCAAGAGGCTGCCTAACAATGACTGGTGTTTGCTGGATAATAAAATCACAAGTGATGGCTCTTCCAACCACTCCAAACTGGGCCACAAAGAATATGAAAAATTGGGCCCCCATTTCACAGACCAGGAGAGGGGGAAAAAATCAGCACCATTATCTTTCTAGTGAGTTTCATCTGACTTTCTGAAATGCTGTTTTAGAGGAACCTCTGAAAGCTACTGATTTTCATGCCTTTTCAGAAATGAGCCTGTTGACTTGAGGGAGCCATACACCAAAAAGCAGATGTAAGCACTTATACAAGATGGGAAGTTAGTTCCACTAATAGCATTTTTCTCTGACACTGAACAGGAGACACTCGTATCTGATTCTGAAGCCTCCTTTACAAAGGCCTTATCCTAAAGTAGGTAGACTTGAGACACACTGACCCGCCAGATGAAAAAGTTGCAAATCTCAGGTAGTTGTCACCTCCACTCAACAGCCAGCCGCACCCAACTGCTGCCATAAATTTCCATCATGGACCCTGTCCAAAAAGGAGCTTATTCTAGGGAGAATATCACCAACCATGGCTCTAGAGGACAAAGCCTCAAATTTCCCAGGACTAACAACCACGATGAACTCACTTTCTGCCTGCACAGTGGCTCCTTCTTGTTCTCTTCAGCCTTGGCATCCTGCTGTGCAGAGTCTTTGGGCGTGTTTACTGCTAAAACATCATTTATCGTGGAGCCAACCACCATGATCTTGGCTCCGCTGGTCACCTTTATTTCCCTCAACGTCTTATCTTCAGGGACGAGTCCCTTATACATGACTTTCTGCATGGCTGGCGGGAGACCTTTGGAAAAGGTAGCAGACAGTAAAAGAATCAAAAAACATACTTGGACCAGGGCTCTTTGGCAACAGACCCCAAAGTGAATACTGCTCTACACCTTTTATCTTTGCACACTTGGGCAATTCACAACCTCTCTTGGCCTCAGTTTCCAGAACTTTGTAATACTGATGACAGTAGTTCCCTCTGTATGGACTTGGTTTTAAGGATAACCAGATACGTCAAACAGTACGTAGGGCAGTGCCTGGTATTCAATAATTGTTCAGTAAATACTATTTGTCATTCATTCCAAGTTATTCCTCAATCTTCTAATCACTCAAATATTATGTAAGTCCACAAGCCTCAGGGATACAAAAACCAGTACAGACCAAGTTGTTTTTATAGACCTTACAGACTGCACGGAAAAAGCTTAAAAAAGAAATCCTTTCAGATGACAAAGTACTGAAGACAAGATGAAATTAAGTAACAGAAGCACCTGTGAAAGGGCCAGCATGATGGCCAACAGCACTGTTTCCTAAACTTCCTTTATGAGAATTACCTGGTATTTGCTAAAAATAAATTTCTGGCCACATTCCAGGCCCACTGAATCAAAATCACCTTTGGGGGGAGGGGAAGCCTGGAAATCGTAAATTTAACAAGCGCCTTAGATGATTTTTATTAGAGATGTTTGTGCAACACTACTTATAAGATTGGGCCTAAGAGTCAGACCTGGGCCTCAATCCCTGTTCAACCACTTAGTAGCTCCTTGATACCAGGTCTCATTTCGCCCATCTGAGTGACGGGCATCCTAGTACCCATTTCGGAGGGCTGCTGTGAGCACTGAGAGACTTGATCCTGGGACAGCGGCCAGCACGGTGCCTAGCAGAGTGTGAGCACTAAGAACCGCAGGAGACGTGGAGAAGGCGTCTGTGGCTGTCTTGCCACGGGGATTACCTGTAATCGAGTGAATCTTCTGTTTCAGCTCGGAGCCTGTGCTGTCCAGGGGAAACTTCACGTCGTGCTTAGTCTTGTTCCAGATGATCTTCAGGTCCACCAACTCCCTGCCCGGGCCGCCGCCGCCCGCATCCTCGCCATTGCTGACCGAGGCCTGGGCCGCGGGGTCTCCAGGGGGCTGGGCCGGGGCTGGCTGCAGGCTGCTTCGCGCGGCACAGGCGTCCGCGGACGCCGCCCCCGCGACCGCTGCCGCTTCGGCTTCCATGCAGTTGAGGGGCCGCGCGGGGACCTCGGCCGCCACAGTCTCGGCCTCCGTGTCCATGCCAGCCTCCTCCATGCCTGCAACGGGGTCAGCGGTGGGCGCTCGCCTCGGGCTGGGCCTGCGGCCGGACTCCGCCCGGGCGCCGCCGCACCCCGGCTCCCGAACCAGAGATCTCCTCCCCAGCCCCCCACCCCGGGCCAGGCCACGTCCCCGAGAAAAGACCTCTTAACCCGGGCCCAACCCAGACGCCAGCCACCCCGCCACACTCACCATCCGGGGCCCCGGCCGCCGCCATGATGATTGTGTACAACACCCACCGCGCCCGCAGGGACCGCTGGGAAAAGGAGAGCTGGCGGAGATTGGCCCCCGGAGCAGCCCCTAATCTCGCCCCGGCTGGCCGGAAACAGGTGGAGGTTTCTATGGAGACCCGCCTCCTCCTCTTCTCGGGCCGGCCCCTGCCACGCTTCAGCTTTCCGCTGCGGAGAGGGGAGGGCCTGGTAATCGCCTGCTCCACTGGCTCGTCCCCCTAGAGGCCGAGCGGGGCCACAGCCGTACAGGGGATTGTGCGCTCGCAGGCTAAGCGGTCTGCCCCTTTAAGGGGTGAGGTTGGGCCTCCTGTGGCGGAAGCGGATTGGCTGGGAGGAGTCCCCGGAAGTGATTCACGAAGAAGGCCACGTGGGCGAGTACACCCCACATGGCGGTGCTCCTGAGGATGCTTTTGCAGCTGGGGAGGCCCCCGGGAATCTTGGGGCGCTCCCTGGGTCGGCGCGAGGCCAGCCTAGGCACTGATTCCGGGGCTGCAGTGCGAGTTCGATTTGCCCCCAGCCCCACAGGTAACGTGGGCGGACGTGACGCTGCAGGCCGAGGCACACGGTCGCGTGCCCGCCCCCTGATGTTCCCGTAAGAACCCGTTCTTGTGGAGTCAGACTGGGAGGGCTACGCGACCCTATTTTATAGAGTCAGAAACAGGTCCACAAGCGGAAATTATTCGCATGGCCACGAATTCTTTGTGTTTATTGGACCTCGCCATCTCGTTCGGTCTCTTTTTCTTGTATTCAATATGCATTAAGTAAAAACTGCCAGGTACTGTTCCGCTGCTGTTTCCATTGAAAAAGTAAGCCCCCGGTCCCGACAAACAAAAATACTGTGATTTTAGACAGTCACGGGTGCCATTTGGAAAATGAAGCAGGATAGGAGACTGGGGGTTAGATAAGGATGCTCAAGAAGACCTTGCTGGGAAGGTGACATTTGAACTGAGAACCAAATGACAAGGAGGTAGCTATGTGAACCTGCAGAAGGAACCTTCTGAGGAGAGGAAATTGCCCTGTGGTTAGTGTTAGAGTTTAGCAAGCCAAAGGGACTTAGGGGCCCATTGCATACTCTAGTGGACGTCTTGTCAGGGCTTCCCCACCAGTTCCTAAAATTTTCGTCAGGAGGATACCTCTGCCTTCACTGTGAGCATGCCTCTCTTCAACCCCAGGGTCAGTATATAAGAATATCTTTGTGGCAAGATCCCAGCTGCACAGAGTGGCAGATCTTTTTGGTTAGTATAGAGCGTCCTTTTCAAACTACCCATGCTGAAAGGACTGGTTTTTAATTTTCAACCAATTATGGATCAATACTTTTATAAAATCAATATAAATAGATTACTAGGAAAATGAATTAAAGCATATGAGCCTACTCTTTGTTAGATTAAACAGGTAGAACATTATTCTGTCAAACTGCTGTAAATTCCTACACATTTACTCTCAGTTTCAGTGCTTACTTGGTTGTAAACTGGCAACAGTTCACAGACCAGCACCAGTTTGGGTGCCAGAGCCTGAGATGGAGTAAAAGCTTCTGGCTTTCTCACTTCCTAGCTGTGTAACTTGGGCAAATTATTTCACTTCTCAGAGCCTCTGAGTTTTGTCATCTGTCAAACAGGACTAAGTAATACTGCCCATCTCTTGGTCTTGAGGTAATGCAACTGAGACACTTGGGAACTTTTGGTAAGAATGCACTTAATGAACTGTAACCTCTATAATAATTATTGTAATTCATGTTTCCTTGCTAATTTGCAGGAAAAGCCATTTAGAGCAAAAGCTGTTTACTACAGACATAAAAAAAAAAAATTACCAAACACAGATCATTGCAATGGCTAAAATTAATTGAAGGCTGTACTTTGGTCAGCATTTAGGCCTCGCAGCAACCCTATGAGAAAGGTTTCTATTTTTTTTTGTTTTTAATCCCTCTAGTAGATGAGGAAATTGGAGCTCAGACAAGTAAAGTGCTGAAGGGGTAGCAATTAGTAAATGGTGAATGCAGAATTTGAATCCAGGTTTATTTCACATAAGAGGTCTTGCTTTTAATTCCTGAACCTTTGTGTCTTCTATCTTGGGAATCACTGGTTTTGTGGTGGACTTGCAATAAATAACTGGAGGTCACACACATAATCAGTGTTAAAAAGAGACTGCCTAACACCAGGGCAGCTTTACCTGGTCCTGGGCCGCTTCCTGTACTTGGAGGTGCAGATGAATTCACTGTGCAGACAGAACTGTGGGCCAAACCAAAGAAGGTAGAGTAAGAGGAAATAACAGCCCTGGGAAAATTGTTCATTTTAAGTTTTTGGTCCGGAATGATGGAAAAGTAAAATCTTAAGAATTTAAATTCAGGTGGAGAGAAATACCACAGAATCAAATGTTACTTTTGGTTAGTGTTTAGAGCCAGCACTTAAGGTGAAAATCTCAAGTAGACAAAATTCAAAATGTATAATATGGATAGTCATGACTGCATAGAGAATGTATGGAAAATGTCATTTTACAGTATTTTTAATTTGTAATTAATTTTTTCCCATGTACATCGTTGAATTTACATAAGTTTAATGTACATATGGTAATTACTTCAGTGAATAAGGCTCTGCTGCTCTCCTTTGGGTGAAACTTGGCCTAGAAGCAAATATCAAAGTAGAATGATGGGTGCATTTTCAGCAAATTCGAGCCTGTTTACAAGATGCATTCTCCAAAACTTGAGTGTCTTCTTCCAGAAAGAGGGGCTAAACAAGTTACCACCCTTTCCTTCTCTGTGACAGTCTGGCTGTCTAGGTGCTAACTGGGGAGATGGGACAGAGATAGTGGTCTCTTGGGCTTTGATATTCATTGAGATATTCTGTCACAAGCAGAGCTTGCTTGCCCCTGGACTAAGGTTTGTCAGGTCATGTTACCTGTCTTGTCTGAGCTGTTTTCTTTTTATACCAGGCTTTTTGCACCTGGGTGGCCTCCGCACTGCCTTGTACAACTACATCTTTGCCAAGAAGCTCGGAGGAAGCTTTGTCCTGCGGCTGGAGGACACGGACCAATCCCGCCTTGTGCCTGGAGCAGCGGACAACATTGAGGACATGCTGGAGTGGGCAGGTGAGACTGGCAGAGAAAGGAACCTGTAGTCTTCCCACGGGACCCAGGATGGAGGATGAGGAGCACTTGGAGAGATGGGACATTTGTGCTGCCTGGGATAGCAGGTGCCACTTGAAAAGATGCCGAAGCTACCTGAAGAAAAGCTCTAAGGCTGTTTGGAGAATCCTGTTCTTATCCCAGAATCTCAAGCCCTCCTGATGGCAGGCAAGAAATAGGCCAAGTATAAGATGGACCTGGGGGACACTAGACCGGTGGTAAGCTGGAACATATTCCAGTCCCTCATTTCCAAGTGGGAATACTGGCTCAACTTGTCAAATCTTCTGACTTCCAAGAGGAACCACAATGCCAGGGATTTTGTTATGTTTAAATGAATGCTTCCCATTGTTAAATCTGAGCTCAGGTTTTTGGTTTTTCTTTTTAAAACTACACTATGAGGCAAACAAAATGTGCACGATCTCTGAAGTCGATCTTCAGAGATCAAATTGTGAGAAATTTAATCCTGAACACAGCTAAGCTCAGGGAGGAAAGGAGGAGTGTATTTGTGTTCCCTGGGTCAACAGTTGCCTGTCTTTTTATGAAGAAAGGGTAGCAGGTTTGGGAACCCGCAGGGAGGCATGCTCATTTATGTATGGTGGTCTTCGCTCTGGAGGTAACGCTGGAGCAGAGACTTGCACAAAGCAAGGGGCCACCCTGTGGTTACCTAGGGGAAGAGTGTTCAAAGCAGAGGCAATAGCAGATGCAAAGACCCTGTGGAAGTGAAGTGCTGGGCGTGTTAGGCGAGCAGCCAGGAGGCCAGTGTGGCCTAAGTACAGTGAGCAAAGCAGAGTAATGAGAGGTACAGGCAAAGCTGCTATGCCATGCAAGCCAGGTGAGAACTCTTAGTTACATGCAGGAACTCTGCTGGACACGGAGGGTCGCAATGAATAGGTGCCACCTGTGTGGAGCCCCTGGTGCAGTATGACTGTGTGAATGAGGCTGCAGTCCCCACCCCAGCATTGTGGTGAGGCATAGGGCAGGCACCCCAGGGTACTGACCGCTGGAGATGCTTGCTTCAGGGGTAATTCTTTTCTTTTTTTTTTTTCAACGTGTAATTCACGTAATATGAAATTCATTGTTTCAAAGTGTACAATTCAGTGATTTTTAGTATATTTGCCATGTTGTACAACCATCACCACTCTCTAATCCCAGTACATGTCTATCACTCCAAAACGAAACCCAGTACCTAATAGTAGTAACTCCCTATTCTCCCACCAGCCCCTGGCAACCAGGAATCTACTTTCTATCCCTGTGGTTTGCCTATTCTGGAAATTACATACATTGTAAATGGAATTCTACAATATGTGGCCTTTTATGACTGGCTTTTACTTAGTGTAAGGTTCATCTATGTTGTAGCATATGTCAGTACTTCATCTTCTTTATGACCAAGTCATTGTGGGAAATACCATCTTTTGCTTACCTATCCATTTATCCATGGATGAGCATTTGGCTGTTTTCTACCTTTTGACTCTTAAAAGTCACTGCTGTGAACATTTATGCACTAGTTTTTTCTTTGGGTGGGGGAGGTTAAAGATTTTTTTTTAATTGTTGTTACAGAGCGGGGGAAGGGAAGGAGAAAGAGAAGGGAAAGAAACATCAATTTGTTGCGTCTCCTGCACCCCATGCCCTCCCCAACCAGGGACCTGGCCTGCAACCCAGGCACGTGCCCTGACTGGGACTCAAACCAGTGACCCTCTGGTTTGCAGGCCGGCACTCAATCCACTGAGCCACATCAGCTAGGGCTATGTACTAGTTTTTACGTGAACATACGTTTTCTTTTCTTTTTTTTTAATTTTTAAATTGATTTTAGAGAGAGGGAAAACAATAATGTTTTGGGGGTTTTTCATTTCATTTAGTTGCGCATTTACTGGTTGCCTCCCATAGGTCCCCTGACTGGGATTTGAACCCACAACCTTAGTGTATTGAGACAACGCTCTAACCAACTGAGCTACTGGCCAGGGTTGTGAACATATGTTTTCAGTTCCCCAAATGGAGTTACTCTTAAACCCTAGGACATCCATGTGCTGAACACATTCAGTTATATTAGGAAAGGACCCCAAATATACCTAATCTAACTCTTTTTTTTTTCTGACAAATGAAGAAGTGGAGGCCCAATGGGAGAAGGAGCTAAATAATACTAATGACAATTATGTCCAAAGCTGACCAAGTGCCTTGCATATACCAGGCAGTGCACTAAGCATTTTACTGTGACCACCCTCACAGTAAAGTTTGTGTTCTTTTACAAATGAGGAAATTGAGTCTTTGAAAGGCAACTCACTCAAGGTTTCCATGCTGGCCAGTGAGTTCGAATGTGGGCTGTGTCTTCCAGAGTTTGTGTTAACATCGTGTGTGCAAGATTATCCATGTTGTTATCCTTCTAATTCATTTAAAAACTATCTGAAGGCAGAAACACTGTCATTCAACTCTTCTGTATCCCCTCTGCCCTCTCCTGAAAATGTTCATAGTTCAATATGTCCTTTGTGACCTGAGGAACCTGGACCTTGGGTTAGGGATTTGGCTGCTAATATGTAGACCACGTTTCCTCAGGCTTATGTAGCAGCTGTTAGAGGTATGCTGTTGGGCTGAGTGCTCTGTAAGCAGTGATGCTTTTAGTTCTCAGTCACTCTGCACAGTAGGCTGTCAGCTCTGCTTTTCAGAGAAAGGAACTGAGGCTTACAATGGCTAAGGAATGCAAAGAGACAGTACGGTGAGTTGTTAGGAGCACAGACTCTGGGGCCAGCACACCCGGGTTTGAATCTAGCGTCCTTTATCCTTGGCCAAGTGATATAACGAAGTCCCTCTGTGCCTCAGTGTCCTTGTTAATGAGTGGGGATAATAATAGCATCCACGTGGTATGATGGTTCTGAAGCTTGGTGGAGGTCGTAAAATATAAAAACAGCTTGGCACTCTGGTGCTTCTACATTTGGATCCCTTGTCACAGCCAGTCAGGGGCAGAGCCAGGAGTCTAGCCAGGCCTGCTGGGCTGTGCCCTGAACCATGTCTTCCTCCTGAGTGGGCTGTTCCAGGCCTGGATGGTTTTCCCCACCCTAGGAAAAGGGTGGATGGAGAGGACATGTAGTTGGCAGTGAAGACACAGAGCCAGCACACATCTGCTATACTCCTCCACCAGCCCGTGTGACCTTGAGCACTGAACCACTCTGTGTTTTAACTTTTCATCTATAGATGGGAACTCATGGTAGTACGGAGTTCACACATTATTGGGAGGATTAGAAGCTTTCCTCCATTTGCCAAGCCCTTAGAGCAGTGCCTGAGAACCAGTGTCACGCGCATCTCATGGTTATTATCTGGTGGTTACTCTTTCCATGCTCCAGGCATTCCCCCTGATGAGAGCCCACGCCGGGGAGGCCCCACTGGGCCCTACCTGCAGTCCCAGCGGCTCGAGCTGTATGCCCAGGCCGCAGAAGCTCTGCTGAGGACCGGGGCTGCTTACCCCTGCTTCTGCTCACCACAGCGGCTGGAGCTGCTGAAGAAGGAGGCACTGAGGAGCCGCCAGACACCCCGGTGAGAGCTCCAACCTGTTATGCTGCCTCCCAAAAGTTGGGTGTGTTTGTTAGCTGTTGGCTGCATAACAGGTTACCCCCAAACTTTTACTGTCTTACAATTTCTGTGGGTCAGGACTCAGGGTCTCTGTCAGTGCTGGAGCCAAGGTCCTGGCCAGCTTGTGGTCATCTGAAGGCTCAGCTCACAGAGAATCTGCTTCCATTTTCCCATGAGGCTATCAGCAGACCTCAGGGCCTCACTGGCTGTTGCCTGGACACATTTCCTTGCCACTTGGGCCTCTCCGTAGGGCAGCTCACAGCATGGCACCTGACTTTCCTCAGAGTGAGCCAGGGAGAAAGCAAGAGAGTGAGACAGAAGCCAGAGTGTTTCTGTAACCTAATCGAGGAAATGACAGCTCATCATTTTGGTTTTGCTCTGTTCATTAGGAGGAAGTCACCAGGTCCAGCCAACACTCACAGGAAGGGGAAGACACAAGGGCAGAAATACCAGGAGGTGGGGATCACTGAGGTCATGTCCAAGCTACCAACTGCATTGGGTCCCAGGCAGAAACATGCAGTTTTACTTATTTGTTATTTTGCATAAGTAAAATGTTCCCATGTTTAGAAAAATATATACACAAAGCCCTCTCCTAACCCTGACTCTGGCTACTCAATTAATTTCCTCTCCAGAGAAAACTGGTGTTAGAATTTGCTTATGTCTCCTGTGGAGACAATCAGAACATACACTGATAAATGCATATCATTTCTCTTCCTGCCCGTTCAAATGGTAGCACACAACAAGTGTATTGTACAACATTCCGTCTCAAGGATTAGTCTGTGTCAATGCACAGGTTTTCTGATGCCGGCATTGTATTCCATTGTATAGATATATCATCATTTACTTAATCAGTTCCTTGCTAACATACCGTTATATCATTTCTAATCTTTTGTTATAAAAAAACTCTATGTTATAAAAAATCTCTAATATCAAATTTGCTGTGGCAAATTATGTTGACAAGCATCATTTTGCACACATACAGTGTTTCGTTGGAACCTTTGAGACATGGTGCTGCCTGGTGGCCCTGCAGTAGCTGCATTCCTTTCAACAGTGGCATCATAACTTAAGTTCCAGTTTTAGTGAACTGTCTGCACAAGGGCCCAGATGTTTGGACAAGGTTGCAACATTCACTGAAGCACTGATTTTTTCATTATAAACACCATCGTACTTGTCTACTGACAGAAGATTACTTTTTTGGCCCAAGGTCATACAGTTACCAGAGACATAGAGAGGGCTCATGCCCATCATCAATACTCTTAGCAGCTCTGCTGCTCTGCTTCCCAACAGGTATGACAATCGGTGCCGGAACCTGAGCCAGGAACAGGTAGCCCAAAAGTTGGCCAAGGACCCCAGGCCTGCTATCCGCTTTCGCCTGCAGGAGGAGGCACCGGCCTTCCAGGACTTGATATTCGGCTGGAATAAGCATGAAGTGGCCAGTGTGGAGGGGGACCCGGTCATCCTGAAGAGCGATGGCTTCCCCACATACCACCTGGCCTGCGTGGTGGATGACCACCACATGGGCATTAGCCATGTGCTGCGTGGCTCAGAGTGGCTGGTCTCAACCTCCAAGCACCTGCTCCTCTACAGGGCCCTGGGCTGGACACCGCCTCGCTTTGCCCACCTACCCCTACTCCTCAACAAAGACGGCAGTAAACTGTCCAAGAGGCAAGGGGACATTTTCCTCGAATGTTTCGCTGCTGCCGGCTTCCTCCCAGATGCCTTGCTTGACATCATCACTAACTGTGGCTCAGGGTTTGCAGGTACGCACCCATCTGAGAGGTTACAATGGGACCACAGCAGTGAGGAACTAGGGCTTGGGTCCAGACCCACCTGGTCCCTAGTCTGGCTGTGCCACCTACCAGTTACGTGAACTTGCACAAGTTCATTCTTTGATTCCACAAATATTTATTGAGTCAGACAGTGAACAAGACAGGCATAATCCCTGCCCTCAAGGAGATTATAGTCTCTGAACCTTGGTTGCTTCATCTGTAAAATGGAGCTAAGTGTCTACCTCTTAGGTGTAAGTTAGGATTCACTGAAGTCATGAGTGTAAGGCCCCAGCACACTATCTGCTACACAGTAGGCACAAAAATTGCAGCTCCTATGTATGTTACAATTATATTACTACTCTAACAGTATTAGTAGTGTTACTGTGACCCCAGTTTATTCCAAGCTAAGACCTTATCCTCAGCCCAAGACTTTGAGCCAAATCTTAGAGAAACACCAATTAGGATGACCTCTGTGGGGAAGATTTCTGAAAATGAGACAGTAATAATCTACTTATTTATTTTGCTCTTATTTAATCCTTAAAATAGCCTTGGGATGTACTTATTATCTCCACTGTTTAGGGGAGGACTGGGAGGCTCCAAGAGCTTAGGTAATTTGCCAGTGTCACACAGCTACTAAGTGACATGGCAGAAGCTCATTGTAGGCTGAAGTATGACCACCATGCCCACTGGCTGTATGGGACAGAGCTGCTGCTTTGAGAAGCAGCCCCTAGCACAGCTGTTGGTAACTCTGGCTGCACTTTGGTAACCCAGGAAGCCTAAAAAGCATGCTGGTGTTCAGACCCCACCCAGACCAATGGAATCAGACTGCAATACAGCTAGGCAGTGGGTGTGCTGTTCCTGCAACTCATGTCTTTGAGTACTTGGGGGTAGGTTAAGCCTGATTTTTTTTAAACCATTGTTTTTCCTTAATGACTGAAGCCTTTCTGCAAATGAAAGCTCATTTGGGCCCTTGATGTAAAAATAGCTAAAGGTTGAATCCTTTTGATGAAAATGGGGTGGGGAGCCCAGAGCATGCTCACTCAGCCTCCCTTGGAGTTGAAATTGGGGCTTCCAGGAGAGGAAGTAGGGAGTTACCTGGCTAGACTTCCCTTGCTGCAGAGAACCAGATGGGCAGAACCTTGCCAGAGATGATAGCACAATTTGACCTGACTCGAATCACCTGCCATTCAGCCCTTCTAGACCTGGAGAAGCTCCCAGAATTCAACAGGTGAGTGGGGTACCAGAGAACCTGTGGCGGGAAAGGGCTTTCTTGATGATGATGGGTCTCCACAGCAGAGGGTCCTATGGGCTCCAGAGTCACATATACCTGATTTTGACTGTGGGCTCAGGTGTCTAGTGCTGTGTGATCACAGGTAGTCACCTGACCTCTTCAGGCCTCTGTTTCCTCGTCTCTGAAATGGGGTTAATAACAGTACCCACCTCATGCAGTTGTTAAAGAGTTGAATTAAATATTCCATCAAACTATTTGCACAGACCCCAGCACAAATAAAGTACTTGGTCAATAGTAGGTACTGTTTTATCATTACCATTATTCTTGGGTATCCCTCGTATGGATTCTGTTGACCACCAAAGCCCGGCAGGGAGCATCTTCATTTTAGAACCACCTCCCACCTGCCAACATTAAACGAGCACTTTCTCAAGCCACCAATTGCATGTATCAAGTGGTCCTTCACTCAGAAACTTCTGAACATGATTACAGTTCCCATCACTCTTGACATGTCCCAGTCTAAGGGCCAGGGTGGTAAAGCAGCAGACAGGTTTATATTCATGGTTGCAGGGACTTCTTGACACCTTCTCTTGAGCACTGGTTTGGGGACAGGCTCTCCTTGGTGTTCTCTTTTCATGAACCCAGGGAACTCATGAATGGCAGGTGTTTCAGGGCTATTACTTCAACTACTTCTCCAATTAGAGCTGTGAGGTCAGTTGTATGATTTTTCCCTGTTTTACATATGAGGAAACCAGCACATAGAGCAGTTACCTAACTGGCCAACGTTCACTCAGAAAATGGTGGGCAGCTTTTGAATGGGGCCTTCAAGAACAAATGCAGTGCACACATTGACTGTACTTGTACTCTGCCTTTCTTATGGAGAAAGCAGTATGTCGGGCAGCTGGGGCGATGACTGGGGGATACTTTGTGATTTGCTCTAGTACCCCTAAAGCACATGGGGTGGCCAGAGGAGGACAGAGTTGGGCTTTTGCTTAGTGTGAATCAGGGAGGAGATACGGCTTTGGGACACCCACAGGTTTAACGCAGCTCAAGCTGTTACGTTAGATGTTGCAATAACAAAGGCACTGCTGTGATTAGTTTGTAACAGTAAAGAGAGCAGTAGTGGTTGTCAGGGCAGCAGCAGTACTAGTGCTATGGTAGAAGTATTAATAGTGATTAAGGCACCCAGCACTTACTGTGTCCCAGGCTCTGGACCCTACATGTGTTAACTCAAGCAGGGCCACCAGGTCTCTGATTCCTTCTACTGTCTCCTCTAGCTACTAGGAGCCCCCTAGAAATAGTCTCAGTAGCAACTTCATGTGATTTTTGTAATTAATTGCTTTAAAAAAAATCATGTGTTTCGTCACCCTGTGCTCCAGGTAACTTACCAAGGGTTCTCACCCTGCCATGCTCTGACACGCGGAGGCCTCTGTTCAGATCCCTGTCCGTCTCCAGCCCCAGTGTGGTAGCAAGGCAGGCCTTGTGCTCAGTGCTTTAGTGATAGTCCCTTATATAATCCGCTTTACTGATAGTCCCTCATAAAAATCATTTGACTTATTAATTTCAATAAATTAAAAAATTAAAATTTTTTTTTCTCCTCTACAGACTTCTTTTTCCTTTTTTGGAGGCAGCAAAGCCTCTGAGACTCCAACCTCCAGCAAGACCCTGTCAGTCCTTGGTCCTCTAGGCTGCCCTTGCCCTGTCCCTAGCAGGAGTAGAGAGACTTGAGAGAAAAAGAGCATGAGTAGTGCCGGGTAGGAGCCCTTGTCCCTGGCACAGAGGAAAGGCAGGCAGCCAGGGATGGGTGAACATCTCATGGGCTCTATAATTGGACAGGCCTTGAGTGGGGCCAGCCCCACCAGGTGTTTACAGTAACTGATATGATCGTATGGAGCCTCAGGATGGTCACCTCTAATATGGAAGCAACAGTGTGCCTCCCTCACAGATTTAAATAAATAAAACCTTGTTTTTGTTTTTTAAGGCAGATATCTCTTATTTTTGTGTGATCTCTTCCTAGTTAAAATATTAGCTACTATTTTAAAAGCATTAAAACAGCATGTTTCTAGGTTGCTTATTTATTTATTTTTTTTAGAGATTGGGGAGGGAGAGAGAAACGTCGACTGGTTGCCTCTTGCACACCCCCAACTAGGGACCTGGCCTGCAACCCAGGCATATGCCCTGACCAGGAATCGAACCAGTGACCTTTCAGTTCATAGGCCGCTGCTCAATCCACTGAGCCATACCAGCCAGGATTCTAGGTTGCTTTTTAAAGATTTTATTTATTTACTTTTAGAGAGAAGGGAAAGGAGGAAGAAAGAGATGGAAAGAAACATCAATGTGCTAGAAACATCCTTCCAGTTACCACCCACATACCTCCAACTGGGTACCTGGCCCACAACTGAGGCATGCTCTGACTGGAAATCCAACAGATGGCCCGTCGGTTTGCAGGCCTGCACAAATCCACTGAGCCACACCAGCCCAAGCTCTAGGTTGCTTTTTAAAGCCACCTGTTTAAACACTGGCTGGTGTGGCTCGGTGGATTGAGTGCCAGCCTATGAACCAAAGGGTTGCTGGTTTGATTCCCAGTCTAGGGCACATGCCAGGGTTACAGGCCAGGTCCCCAGTGTGGGACACATGGGAGGTAACCACACATTGATGTTTCTCTCCCTCTCTTTCTTCCTCTCTTACCCTCTCTCAAAATAAATAAAATCTTTTTAAAAAAAAAAAACAAAAACTACCTGTTTAAGACCTTAGCCAGATTCCTTTCCTTTTATAAGTTTAAAGGGAATTCCTTTGGCTTCTCTCACAGGCTGCACCTTCGTAGGCTGGTGAGCAACGAGACCCAGAGGCGCCAGCTGGTGGGAAAGCTGCAGGTGCTCGTGGAGGAGGCATTTGGGAGCCAGCTGCCAGACAGGGCTGTCCTGGACACAGCCTATGTGGAGAGGATCATCCTGCTAAGACAGGTGTGGGGTTGGGAGCTCCAGGAAACTGAGGGAGTGGCAGCACCCCCATTTTTCCCCTTCCATTGTGTCAACCCTGTTCCCAGGACATTGAACTGCTGCCTCTTCCTCCAGGGTCACATCTGCCGCTTGCAGGATCTGGTCTCCCCGCTACACTCCTACCTGTGGACTCGCCCTGCTGTGGGGCGAGCACAGCTGTGTGCCATCTCAGAGAAGGTGGATGTGATTGCCAAACACGTGCTGGGGTGAGTCCCCACAAGCCAAGATCAAGGTTCTGCACCCTCCTACCCTCTTTTGCCCCAGGGTCCCCTTTACCCCAGGGCTTGGCTTTTGGGCCTGCAGCACAACCCATGGCCAGTGAGAGGTTCTTGGTCAGCTAATCACTCACTGACTCTTTTGGTAGGAAGGGAGCCCAGAGGAGCTCAGGCTGCCCCTGGAAGAAATGATGCGTTCAGGCTCTTGGGTTGTATCCACCTGGGTCCCATCCCAGCTTCACCTCTTACTCATCCAGCTAGTTCATCTGCCCAGATGACTTCACTTTGTCTGAGTTACTACATCTCTTTTAGCTTGTTTTCTCACCTGAAAGGTGGCAGTGATACTAGTTCTTACTCTAACAGTACCAGAACACTTTCAATGACAAGGGTGAAAAACAAACAACCATGGAAAGGAATGACTGGTCTGCATAATCGCGGTGGTCAGAACTAGGGCTGACTTGAGGCTTAACACAGGGCCCAAAAATATGTCCCCAATTCCCAATTTCTCTGTCTATCCCTTTGATTCCCTGCCTATACTCCTCCATACTGGCTGCTCCTTCTGCAGAGGCTCTGGACAAGGTAGATGGAGAGTGGGATTCTTTCCCAACTAACAAGTGTATTTCTGTTTACCTAACAGGTCAGGGGTGAATGGCTTTCCTCTATGTCTCCAGGGTTGTGCCATCCCTAGATTTTGCTCTTGTCCGAGTGGTGCATGGTGGCTCACAGACCATCCAGTATTTAGCCAGAGAAGGAAGGAAAAGAGGAGGCAGACAAGACATTCCTTCCCCTTAAGAACTTGGCTTAAAAGCTGTATGTTAATTTCCACCTGGATCTCACTAGCTATAACCCTTAAGGCCACACCAGGCTACAAGGGAGTCTGGGAAATGTATTTTTTTATAACTTGGCATAGCGAGATGATGTTTTGATCAACTGAGCTAGCCAGCCAGAGCCTAATCCTCTTAATTATATCTAAATAATACTTCTTATTTTTCCCAATTTTTTTACAGAAAAGGCACAATACAATAACAGCATTCTCTGTCTTTTTTTTAATTTAATATATATTATGATATGTCCAGTGGTTAGAGAACACTCTCATTCTTGTTTACAGCTACACCTATCCCATTATTATACCCAGTATTTACCACCATTTATTTAACACCTCTCCTACTGATGAACATTTGGATTGCTTCCAGATTTTGCTGTTGCAAACAATGCTGCAATGAGTAACCTTGAATAGACATCATTAAGCATGTTTGTAAGTACAGCACCAAGATAAATTCCCAAGAGCTATTATTACTAGTAATTATACTCCCTTAATTTTGGGCATTCCACTATATAGGGGCTATTATTTGTAATTCACTGGAATTAGTGTCTTAACTCCCTATCCTGCTACAGGCATTGTTGTTAGAGGCACTCTGTTGCTCCTGTTCAAGACTGGAAAGCTGACACATAAATGATTAGAAGCTGCCTGATCTCTTGAAGTCCCTTCTATGCCCACGCAAAGCTCTAGGCCAGCTCTCAGTCCTGAGAAGCCATTGTTGGCCACCTGGGGCCTGTCACTTTCATCTGATCCTTGGTATTTTGCTTCCCCGTAGTGACATTAAGGAGAGTGTTTATTTTTTTCGCACATTACATTTTATATTTTTGATATTTTATCTCCTTCGTTTCATAAATAACAGCCATCACGTGACCCAGTTAATGATGCAATAAGAAAGATTACTTTGCTCTCAAATTGGAACTCAGTTGCTCAAGTCCTAGAGTCACTAAGATCTGTCTGCCCTGAAAGGCTATTTGCTCAGGTCACTTGTGAATCCAGTACCTACAGCCAGCAGCACTATACACTGAACCAACCTCTGGAGTAGAGCTGTCCAGATGCTGTTGTGCATAGGTGGTGTCAGAATGGGCATCATAGACCATCTGCCTCAACCCCTGACCATCTGCCTCAACCCCTGTTCAGCGAGTTCCCACCCTACGTCCGTTTCTTGTTCTAACTCCGAATCAAGGTTGGGGTGAAGTTTTTGCAAGTCCAGTTCCAGCTGAATAGGGAATTCCTCTTGAAATCAAACATGATTTTGGGAGAGGACCTCAGCTGGACTGCCAGGAAAGGGCAATTTGCTGATGCAGTGGAGCTTCAGTCCTTAAGTTCTTCAATCTTTGGGCAGAGGATGGTTGTAGCAAGTTGGTGGCAGGGCCCTCACTGGGGCTGCAGTTTCTTGATTCCTTCCTTTCTGCTCTTCCATATTATATCTTCCAAAGTCTACCCCTTTCCTCAGCCTTGAAGCTGTGTTTCAGATCATTTCCCAGAGGGCTTCATCCTTCCATCCTACACCTAACCCATCCCTGAATTTCTTTTTAGATCCTCTCAATGTTTCTGAGCTCTTGGGTGTAATAAATATTAGCTAACTTTTTATTGAAGTATAAGATCTAATACTTTCGAGTACTTAACTGCCTGTTCAGGCAGTGTGCTTAGTTCTTAATTGTTTTAATTAAAACAATTAAAACATGTTTTAATTTAGCCACACCATAGCTCTGTGAGGTGCAGATGCTGTTATCATCCCCACATCACAGATGAGGAAACTGAAGCATAAAAATTACATGCACAGAGGTAGCAGTTAGTAGATCCTCTTATTTTGGTATGTTCTTAGTTTCCCTATGTTATGCCCATATAAGCCTGGATTCTTTGGTTCCCTGGTTTTTTTCTTCCCCAACTCGCATGGGGATGGCAGTAGTAGATACTCCCTCCCTCCCCGCTCCCCCAGGCAGACCTGAATATTGGCTGTGCTCTTTATATTATACCTGATCCATAGTCTTCCAAAGTTCTCCCTACCACCCATTTGCCATTGGCCCCTGCAGGTCCCTCATGGACTGCCTTCCTCTAGGCTTTTAGAAGGACCTGGTACGAGCTTAACTCAGGACATACTGAATGCAGAACTGAAGAAGCTGTCAGAAGGTCTGGCCGGCACCAAATACAGTGACGTGATGAAACTCCTCCGAGTGGCCCTCAGTGGACAGCTGGTGAGATGGGCAGATGGGTTAGAGTATTTCATGGAGCTCTCATGTACCCATTCAACTACCATTCACTGGTAGCACTGAGCTTATCAATCATACAAAGATGAATGAAACATGAGCATTCCCCTCACTAGTCATTCAGGAGACAATACTTGTTGAGTCCCTACTGTGTGAAAGTGCCATACTAGATACAGAGGATACAGCAGTAAATAAAACACTCACCCGCCCTTCCTTCATACTTCATGGAGCTGGCAGTTGATTAGAGGGAACACACATACCAATACAAAAGAATAGTTCCAGGGATGTAGCCTCAGCCTTGTAAATGAAAGAGTGAAATGCAAACTCTTTTCCTTGGGGTTGGCCTGGGGTATGACTTGACAATTGAGGCTGGACATTAGTTCCTTGGGCAGCTTAAAATCATAGGAAATGTTTTCTGTTTTTGTCCTTAGCAAGGACCGCCTGTAGCGGAGATGATGGTGTCTTTGGGACCAAAGGAAGTACGAGAACGAATACAGAAGGTGCTTTCCAGCTGACAGGGGATGTGCTGGACACTGGAGGTAGCCCTAGGAACCTGTGTGTTTGGAAACTGCCCTCGGAGAGGAGGAGCAGGAGGCCTATGGCCCATCGGAACCAAGAGGAGAAACAGAGTCTCCAGGTGCATGCAAGTGCATTCACGGCTCCATGCAGCTCTGTCCTCATCAGTTGGCTAGGAAAGCCCAGCATCTTCTCACCTCCTTGAATCTGGAGAGGAAGGCCTTATGTCTGGTTCTGGTACCACATTACATGGCAGAGACTACAAGCTGGTTCATAGGACAGTCCAGAGGGTTTATGTTTACGCTGCCCAGGCTGCTGTAACAAAATGCCACAGACCTGGAGGACTTAAACAACAGAAAATTATTTTCTCACCATTCTGGAGGCTGCAAATCCAAGATCAAGGTGTTGGCGGTTTCCTTTCTCCTTGGCTTGCTGATGGCTGTCTTCTTGTTGTCCTTACATGGTCATCTTTCTGAGTGTGCCCTTGGTATCTCTTTGTATCCAAATGTCATTTTCTTATAAGGACACTAGTCAGGTGGGATTAGCACCCACCCTAATGGCCCAGTTTTACCTTCATTGCTTCTTTAAAGACCCAGCTGTAAGTATGGTCACATTTTATAGTCCTAGGGGTTAAGGCTTTGACATACAACTGGAGGCGACACAATTCAGCTTTTGACAGCTTGGCAGCAGCCTGGACTCAATTCTCAGGACAAATTTGGACTTTGAGCAATAAAGGATGGTTGACAAGCAGAGATGATCTATACGTCAGACTTTCTTTGGGCCTTCAAAGAGAAGGTACTCATCTGTCAGGTGTGGGAGAGGCACTTATGTCACATACTGTTTTTTTGTCCCGGACTTGTGGCAGCCTGTCTCCCTTCCCTAGAGGTTGTCTGTTTCTCTTTCCCAGTTCTTCAGACCTCATCCTTGGAATGGAGACCTTCACCCTATGTCTTTTATTCATATTTACCACCTTCTTATACCCATTACTTGTTACATCACTGTCTGTGAGCTTCTGAAATGAGATGTTCTTGGGGTAAAGAGAAATAGCTTAAGTAAAATGAGGACTGTGGCTGGCTACAGAGACCCCCTACAGGGCTACTAGATGTCTTCTGTGTGGCAGCTAGCCTCTGAGATGCCTCCCAGTCATTGCTACCTCTTGGTGTTTACACTGAATGGGGGTTGAACTGAGATGCACCATGGCTTCCATCTCATTACTCTGTGGGAAGCCACTTTCATATGCAGATGCTCAAGCAGCCTTGTTTAGAGGTACATGTGATAAGGAACTGAGGCCTCCTGCCAACAACCAGGTTAATACTGCATCTTGGAAGTCAGTCTTCAGCCCCAACTGAGTCTTCAGATGACCGTAACCCTGGCTGATGTCTTGACTGCAACCTTCATGAAGAGCCTGAGCCAGAGCCACTAAGTGAAGCTGCTCTTGAAATTTCAGACACCCAAATTATGGGATAATCAGTATTCATTGTTTAAAGCCACTAGATTTTGGGATAATTTGTTATCCAGCAGCCAGTAGCTCACATCCTCTTCGTGTCCAGGGGAGAAGGGCAAGGGGAATGAAGAATTTGTTGAGCTTCACAGAGAACTAATCTTTTCTTGAAAAGTGTATCGTATAAAGTTCTTTGATCGAAAACAATGGAAATCAGCTCTGCCTAATTTAAGTTTATTGGAGACCATAAGTTTATGGGAATTTTAAGTTTGTGAGAGAGTTAGAGTCTATGGGAAAGCCAAAGACCCAGGTCTGGAAAAGAGAGGACCTAGGGAACTTTGGTTGTGCGGGCAGCAGAAGCTAGTGGCCAGTCTTCAGTGGAGACACTGGAACTCCCAACTGTGCTTTGTTGTTGGTTTCTCTCTTTGCATTTTCCCCTTCAGTTTTGGATGATAGCTCAAGATTCCAGCTCTAGGAAGAGAGTGTCTTGTTGTGCTAATTGAGGTCATGTTGCTGTTCCTTAACCAGGAATAGGTGGTCCCTGCAGGATAATATCCAATGGGAAAAAAGCTGTTCCCAAGGAAAACTGTTTTTTCAGAAGAAGGGGACATAATAATAAAACTAGTGTTTTGTTCGGCACTTACCTGAGGTGCAACCACATTTGGGTTTCAGAATTTGCTGGTAAATACTTCACTCCATTATCTCATTTAATCTTCACAGCCCCATGAGAGAGGCATTATTATTTCTGTTATAGATAAGGAAACTAAGGATGGGAAAGATAATTAACTTGAGTTTACAGTCTGAGACAATACAAGGATTTAAACTTTAGCTCAGCTCTTAACTACTGGGTTACATCAGAGTCTCTGCTTCTAAGACATGAAGGATGGTTACGAGAAACTTTCTCATACTCTGGCTCATGGTGAAGGAATGTGAATATTATAACACTGCAAGTGATGAAAATGCTGAGCTGATAAAAGTGCAGCTACTTTCTCAGTTGGAGTGAATTATATAAAAAGCAGCATATTTGGCTAAAAAGTTTGGTTTTTCCTATATGATGGCTCTAGTAGTGTTTAATTGTCTTTAAATTAATTCAAAACAACTTTGTACTTCTGGTCAAGAAGGAGGCATAGGTAAATATGCCTTGCCTCCTCACACAGCTATAGCAAAAATTACAACTAGACTACAAAACAAATATCACCCAGAATTGTCAGAAAATCGAGCCATAAGGGAGTCTTGACAGCCAAGGATTTAAAAAAGCCTTATTCATCCAGATGGGTAGGAGGGGTGGAGACGCGAAGAGCCACAGGGATGTGGAACGGGTAGTCCCACATCCACATGTGGTGGATAAAAATTTGGAGGGATATCTCAGGAGCAAGGGATCCCAGCCCCAGGCCAAATGACACAGTCCAGGGTTCCAGTACCAGGAAGACAAGTCCCCAAAACTTCTGACTGAAACAATTTTGTTAGATTGTAGTGTGACAGCTGTCATATCAGTGTGCATTTTTTCAAAAAAAAACTGGTGAACTTTTGTGTAGCCATAAAATAAGCAACATTTTCATATTATGCTCTCTTCAAGAAAGGTAAAAACACAACTTAAACACAAAAAAAGATTTGCACTGTGTATGAAGAAGGTCCTGTGACTGATTGAATGTGTCAAAAGTGTTTTTTGCAAAGTTTCGTGCTGGAGATTTCTCACTGAATGATGCTCCACACAATGGGGTAGAGCAGTTGAAGTTGATAGTAATCACATAAAGAAATTAATCGAAAACCATCAACATTAGATAGAGGACGTACTCAAAATATCCACATCAAGCATTGAAAATCATTTGCAGCAGCTTGGATATGTTAATTGCTTTGATGTTTGGGTTCCACAGAAGTGAAAAGAACCTTCTTGACCATAATTTCTGCATGCAATTGTCTACTTAAATGTAATGAAAATGTTCTGTTTTTAAAACAAATTGTGATGGGTGATGAAAAGTGGATACTTTACAGTAATGTGGAACAGAAAAGATCATGGGGAAAGATAAAACAGGAAGCAACAAATGAACAAACAACAAACTCGAAGACACCGACAACAGAAGGGTACTTACCAGAGGGGCAGGAGGGTCGTGGAAGGATAAAAAGGGTAAAGGGGGTCAAATATATTGTTGAGGGAGACTAGGCTTTGGGTGACTATCTCACAATGAATAATATATTACAGAATTGTACACTTGAAACTTGTATACTGTTATTGACAAATACTACCACAATTTAATTTTAAAACAATCTTCGAATAATGATCAGGAAAGAAATTAGACCTCTTCTGTAAATACAGGTAGAATTTTAAGAAGAGAGATGTGCCCAGTCTTCCAACTATGGGCAACACCATCCTGTTGTGCTTGGGTTCTGCAGAGGGTTTCTGTTGTCTTCACCCAGCAGAGACCTTTAGGGTGTTTTTGTTGTTGTTGTTGTTTTGTTTGTTTGTTTCCCTGGAGAAGCTCTTGATGGAGACTCAGTGAATTGTGCAGCTTTAGAAAGGGGAACATTCTTCCCTATGTCGAACACACAGCTGTTGTGCCTCCTGCCCCTATTTGTGGAATCATTTGGCCTACCTTGCCACTCTGTATCCCTGCCCTGCTGAGTTCATTCTTGTGGGGTGATCAGAGTGCCATGCAGAGTGGGACTTTCGGAGTGTCTCCTGGGGAGGCTTTTGTCTGGGAATCAGGCAGGTAGGTGCTAGCCTATGTGGCTACAGTGCAGAGGAGACACTGTGAGCTCAACCCATGGATCCCGCAAGGGGGAAGAAGTGCCCTCTCCCATTCTACATGATTGCCAGCAACACCCCCAACAGGAGACTTTGGATCTGCCCTTCCAAGTCCCTGTGGTCCTGCTCAACTGAGCTCAGTTCCATGGTGGTGGAAGGGTGTGCTGTTCGGAGCTGGGGCATTTGGAGTGTGTCTCCTTCAGAGGCTATTGTCTGGGACCAGGATGACATGCATGGTTCCCTCCTGCTGGCTTGGCCAGAACCACCTTCAAAAGGAGACTTCTGGTCTGGCCTCCTGAGCCCTGGTGGCTCCACCCTATTGAGCTTACTCCTGCAGAGGGGACAGCTGGCTGCACCCAACCTGAAACTGCAGCACACTCAGCCTGGGGGAGATAAAGTTGGAGATTCTGGACAGAAACTCTAGTTTGGCTGTGGATTAGGGGCCACTTTCCCCTCATTGAATGCCTGGTCATGTAGCCCTGACCTACTAGCCCCATCCTCCCAACCCCAGTCACCCAGCCCTACTGAGCTCATGATGGGGAAGGGTCTGTGTGTTGCGGCCAGCCTGGGCCCACTCTGCAGTCTTTTTTTGGAAGTCTCTGGAGAAAGATCAGGCAACCTCTGGGGGAGGTGCAGTAGCTGACAGGGAGGCAGACTCCAGGGATCCTTGGACCTTTTATAGATCTGCCTCCAGATCTAAGCTGGAGGAAGGTGACCCATTGTACAAAGATTGGCCCCCACCATGCACACCCAGGCCCAGTAGACACAACCACAGTGAATAGTGTGGTAGTTCAGATAAGTAGCCCAAAGCCAGTTACACACAACATCTAACATCAACCAGTACCTGAACCCTGCAAAAGTGTACCCAAAACCAACACAACCAGTGGTGGGCTTCAGGCCACACCAGAGCTCAATCCAACTAGCTGCATAAGTGGCACACCCAAAGAGGAATCAGGCAGCCACCAGACTCTGCTGGAAACGATTCCACCTTGGGGGGCAGTCCCTGCACAGCGATTTATACACAGTGATCAAGATTTAGCTTTAAAGCCAGCCAGCATGAAGGTTTAACTCCACCCATGAAAGGGCCAACAGCATTCAAGACACAACTACAACAGGAGGGATAAACGTTCCTGGAGCACTAAGCTCAGGTGTTCTGGAAGATTATTCAACAAGGCACACACACATCATAAAGCCATCATAACAAGTTTTGGAGTCATAGCAGATCTACCTAATACACAGAGACAAAGTGGAAAGAGAAATAAATATGCACCAAATAAAAGACCAAGAGAAAGCCCCAGGAAAAGAAATGAAATGGAAGCCACCAAGATACTAGATGCAGAGTTTAAATCAATGGTTATAAAGATTCTCAAGGGCCTTAGGGGAAGAATGGATGATCTCAGTGAGAAGCTAAACAAAAAGATAACAAGCATTTAAAAGGATACTAAAACTATTTAAAAAAAAACAAAAGCAGAATACAATGTCTGATAAAAAGAATGTACTAGAAAGAATCAAAGCAGGTTAAATGAAGCAGAGGTTCAAATCAGCAACTTAGGGGACAAGATAACGTTACCCAAGTAGAGCATCAAAAAGGAATTTTTTTTTAAATGAGCAAAGTCTAAGGGACCTCTAAGAGAACATCAAGCATAACATCTGCATTATAGTGGTATCAGAAGGAGAAGAGACTAAGGGGTAGAGAAACTTGGAAGAAATAATGGCAGAAAACTCCCTAACCTGGTGAAATAAAAGTCACACAGGTTCAGGCAGCACAGAAGTCCCAATCAAGATGAACACAAAAAGACCCAAGGCAAGACACGTCATAATTAAAATGACAAAGGTTAAAGACAGAATCTAAAAGGAACAAGAGAAAGACAGTTACTTACAAGGAGTTCCCATAAGGGTTAGCTGATTTCTTGACAAAATTTCAGGCCAAAGGGAGTACCATGAGATATCCAGAGTGATGAAAAGCAAGGGCCTAAAACCAAGGCTACTCTATGCAGCAAAATTGAAGGCAAAATAAAGAGCTTCCAAAACCAAAAAAGCTAAAGGAGTTTATTACCACCAAACCAGTATTGCAAGAAATGTTAAAGGGCCTACTTTAAGAAGAAGAAAAAAACATATAGAGGAACATAGACATAATATAAAATGGCAATAGGGGGAATCGAAATGGCAGAGGAATGAGTGGAAGTCACACTTACCTCCACCCAGGACCAACCTGGAATTACAACTAAATTGTGGAGAAATCACTTGGAACAAGCAACTGAACAATAAAGAGAGAGGAGCCTTGTAACCTCAGAGACAGAGGAATCAGCTTTAGAGCAATCTAACTGGTAAGGAGTGCCATACAGACTCAAGGAGGTGGGTGGGGCGCCCATGGGAGGCAGCACCAGAAGGATATTGAAATGACCAGTTGAATCCCCCTGAGATGAGTGAGATCTAAACCATAAGCGGGGATCTCCAGACTACAGCAGCAGAGCCCAAAAAGTACACAGATAACAGCCAGCTGCGAAAAGCGGCAGGGTTGCTCTCTGCCAGCGACAGGTGGCTGGAGATGCAAAGAGCTATTTAAAGGGCCAAAATGCATAAATATTTATTTGCAGCCACTTACCCTGTGCTTTGGCAAAGGCAGGCACAGAATGGGGTGAGATGCCTGAGGAGAAACTGGGGAAGGAAGCTTTGGGGAGAGAACTGAGAGAGTAGCTGGCGGGATCCCAGTGCTGACTCATTCCCCATGTGGCAGCAGCCATCTTGTTCAGGCAGACCGCTCCTTTGAGTGGTAACAGATTGAGAGGACACAATAGCCCTACCCCCAGGAAGGACTTGGCCCTGTTTAGTAAAGCATGGCAGCCACAGATAGTAGATCCCTGGCTAAAGGGGGCACAGAGTGGTCTAGAGATTCTTGAGGAGATACTGGAGACAGAGGCTTTGGGGGGAAAACAGAGAGAGTCGCTGGCAGATCCCAGTGCTGACCCCTCCCCCATATGGCAGCAACCGTCTGGCTCAGGCAGACCATGGCCCTGCGCAGCAGCAGCGTGAGAGGACATGACAACCCCACCCCCAGGTGGGATTCTGCCCCACCCTGTGATGTCTCTAAGCTGGTCTGCTGAGTGCAGATTGACTACATTAACAGCTGAAGGAGACAGTCACAGACAGTAGATTCCTGGAAGTCTTGAACAGACTGCCTAATAACAGATAGGGTCAACATCTGACATCATGAGAGGCAGGTCCAGAAAGGAAAAAACAGTGGTCTCCTACTATAGAAGTTCACACCACAAAGTCAGGAAATCAAGACAGATCAATTTAAGAAGCAGAAACAAAAGAGAAGAGTCTCACAAATAATGGGAAGACAAGGAAACACCCCCCAGTCGAAAGGAAAGGAGGAACCCCCCCCGAAAGAGAACTAAATGAAATAGAGACAAGTGAACTATCAGATACGGAGTACAAACAATGGCTCTAAGGAAGTTCAGTGAGCTCAGGGAGCTCAGAGAGAACTACAAAAAACTACAGGGAAACTGCAAGGAACTTACTGCGAACTATATCAGCATGAAAAAGGACATAGAAACTATCAACTGGAGGCAAGAGGAAATGAAGTGCATGATTTCTGAATTGAAGAACACAGTAGAAGGAATCAAAAGTAAGCTAGATGAAGCAGAGGATCAAATCAGTGAGCTGGAGGATAAGGTAGAAAAAAGCTCCCAGGAAGAGCAAGAAAATGAAAAAGGAATCAAAAAGAACAAAGAGGCATTTAGGGAAAT